AAGATGCTGATTATGCTGCTGCATGGATTTGCTGCTGCAGAAAGGAGACACTCTCTTTGTGATAAAATCTTTGATTGTCTCCTTCTCTCCCCTACGTCTGCTGCAGCAGCAGAGCTTACCAGCAGCAGCAGCAGCAGCAGCAGCAGCAGCACAAGCAGTACTTCTCCCGCTCTTCTTGCTCCTCCTGATACAGCAGCAGGAACAGCAGCAGCAGCAGCAGCAAAAAGCCCCGTGCTGCCGCATGCAGTTGCTGCTCTTGTGTCTCTTTGTTTAATTCGTCTAAAAGCATTCGATAGAAAAGATGTTATGCATGCACTCATTGGTTAGTCTCCTGCTGCTGCTGCTGCTGCTGCTGCTGTTGCTGCTGCTGTTGCTGCTGCTGTTGCTGCAGTTGTTATACAGACTGTTATTGTTTCTCTTGTTGCAGCAGATTGCAGCACATACAATCTCTACAACAGCAGCAGCAGCAGCAGAACAAGAAGAACAACAACAGCAGCAGGAGCACCAACACAGCATCAGCAGCAGCATCAACAACAGCAGCAGCAACAACAACAGCAGCAACAGCAGCAGCAAATTGTGTGTGTATATATTTGTTGCATGCAGAGAGTGTATATACAGCAACAATAAATAATTATAATTTTATACAAATAACAAATCTTCTCTTCTCCTTTGAACAAATTATCCTGCAACAGTATACAGGTCTGCTGCTGCTGCTGCTGCTGCTGCTGTTGTTGATGCTGCTGTTGCTGCTGCTGCTGCTGCTGTGGCTGGGAGGAGGGATTAAAGGGGTTGCTGTTTTATGTTTCTTTGGATGCGCAGCTCCCTTCAGGGCAAAGGAGACAGCAACAGCAGCAGCAGCAGCAGCAGCTGCTGCTGCTGCTGCCACAAAGGAGACAGCTGCAGCAACAGACACGGAGGAGGCAGCTGATGCAGCAGCAGCAGCAGGAGATAGAGGGGAGACAGCCGCAACAGCAGATACAAAAGACGCAGCTGCAGCTGCAGCAGCTGCTGCTGCTGCTGCTGCTTCTCTCTCGAGGGAGGAGAGAGAATCGCTGCAGCGAGCAGCAGCAAAGTTGGCTGGTTATGCAGCAGCAAGAATCAAGGAGGTGCGGGCTCTTTGCTGCTGCTGCTGCTGCTGCTTCTGTTGCTGTTTCTCCTGCTGCTGTTGCTTCTGTTGTTGCTGGCAGTTGTCTCTCCTGCGACCCCGTAGACCCTAAACCCTAAACCCTAAACCCTAGAAAAATGTTTGTGGTGTATATGCAGTTCTCTCCTCAATTATTGGGTAGTGCTGCACTATCAGCAGCAAGAGCAGCAAGACACGGGCAGCAAAGAGAAGAGCTGCTAGAGGCAGCAGCATTTGAAGGTCTGCTGCTGCTGCTGCTGCTGCTGCTGCTGTTGCTGCTACTGCTGTTTGTCGTGCTGCTTGTGCTGATGTAGCTGGAGCAACCGTTGTTGCTGCTCTTCCCTTCTCTCCTTGCTGCTGCTTCCTCGACTGTATGTGCTGCTGCTGCTGCTGTTGCTGCTGCTGTTTGCTGCAGTGCCTCTTCTGTCTCTTCAAGGCAACGCGGGGCTGCATGCAGCAACGTTGCTGCTAGCAGCACTAGCAGAAAGAGGGGGCCCCCCAGGGGGCCCCCAAGGGGCCCCCTTCATGGGTACCTCCCCCAAGCAGCTGCATGCAATGGAGTTGCTGCTGCAGCACTGTGCTGCAGCAGCACACAAGATGGAGGCCTCTCTCTTCTTAAGATTTGTTGTACGTTGCTAGGGTTTAGGGTTTAGGGTTTGAGGGTTTAGGGTTTAGGGTTTGAGGGTTTAGGGTTTAGGGTTTGAGGGTTTGGGGTTTAGGGTTTAGGGTTTAGTGGTTAGGTGTTTTGCCTGTTTACTCCATTTGCTGCAGACCGCCACTGCTGACATTGCTGCTGCACTGAGGAGCAGCAGCAGCAGTAGCAGCAACAGCAGCAGCAGCAGCAGGTACTCGCGACTCTATCCTAGAGGTTCAACAGAAGGCGGTTATGGCGGCTCAGGAGAACAACCTGCTGCTGCTGCTGTTGCTGTTGCTGCTGTTGCTGCTGCTGTTGCTGCAGCAGCAGCAGCACAAGAAAGATCCCTCTTTTGCCGTTTATCCCGACTAGATGTTTCCTTCTTCTTTGCTGCTGCAAATGCTGCTGCTGCTCCCCGCTTCCTCCCTTCTGCTGCTGCTGCAGGAGAGCAGCAGCAGCAGCAGCAGCAGCAGCAAGAGGGAATGGAGCGTGTCTTTACACAGCAGCTGCAGCAGCTGCTGCCCTTCTCTTTGCTGCAGCAGCAAACCCTTGCTGCATTGTATAATCACTCTATTAATCGTCATGCATGCGCAGACACTTCCTTCCTGCTGCAGCACTGGCGTACCCGTGCTGCTGCTGTACTATCAGCAGCAAACCAGCAACAGGAGCAACAACAACAACCACAGCAGCAGCAAGGAACGGAGGTAACAGCAGCAGCAGCAGCAGCCACATCTGCTGCTGATTTTCTTGTAAGAGAGTTGCAGTGTATAGACACCGCAGCTCTTGTACAATCACCTGCTGCTTATGCCCGTCAGCTTATTGCGTAAGCCTTCTTCTTGCTGCTGCTGCTGCTGCTGCTGCTGCTGCTGTTGCTGTTGCTGTTGCTGCTGTTGCTGTTGCGGTTGCTGCTGCTGCTGCCGCTGCTGCTTCTGGTTGTAAGAGGATGCATCTGTTTTGCTGCTGCTGCTCAGGTTCTCTGAATTATCTCTTCCTGGTGTCTTTTCTTCCCAGCAGCAGCAGCAGCAGCAGCAGCTACTGCTGCAGGAAGGCCACAGCAGCGGCAACAGCAGCAGCAGCACCAGCACCAGCATGCTAGATGAAGGGCCTGCAAGGGTTCTTCGTTCCCTTCTTATTCCCCTAAGAGGAAATCCTTCTCTTTTCCCTCCTGCTGTTTGTGCTGCTGCTGCTCGTGTTGCTGCAGAAACTGGTACAACCTGCTGCTGCTGCTGCTGCTGCTGCTAGTGTTGCTGCTAATGTTACTGCTGTTGCTCATGGTTGTGTTGCTAATGCTAGTGCTGCTGCTCATGGTGTTGCTGCTTATGCTGCTGCTGCGCTGCTGCTGCTGCTGCAGGTGTGGGGGATCCTTTGCTGCTGGAGAGAGTCCTGCAGCGGCTAGCAGACGCCGGAGGCGCAGCTGCTGCCTCCAGCAGCAGCAGCAGCAGCAGCAGCAGCAGCAGCAAGGCACGCAGCGGAGGGAAGCACTTGCTACCTGCTGCTGCCTTTGTTGATTTGCTGCGTGCTGCTGCTGCTGCTGCTGCTGCTGCTACCATGACGAGGCCTGCTCGTGCTGCCTTAGAGACCCTTGTAGAGCAGCAAAAGGAAGTGCTGCTGCAGCAAGTAAGATAACTTATTCCTTTTTGCTGCTGCTGCTGCTGCGGTCGCTGTTGTTGTTGCTGCCGCTGTTGTTGTTGTTGTTGCTGCTACTGTTCGTATATGCGTGTCACCTTGTCTATGTTGCTGCTGCTGTTGCTGCTTTCGTTGCTGCTGCTGCTGCTGCTGCTGTGTTCGCAGCCGGACCTGTCTGCTGCAGCAATTGGACTATTGCAGCAGCTGCAGCTGTTGGAGTTGCCGTTGCTGCTTAGCGTGCTGCAGCAGCAAGTCTCGCAGGTGCAGCAGCAGCTGCAACAACAGCTGCCGCAGCTGCAACAACAGCTGCAGCAGCAGCAGCAGCAGCAATGGAGGTCGTCGTCAGCAGCAGCAGCAGCAGACCTACGGGGTCTTGCAAGGATAATCTGCTGCATTTCAAAGGACTCAGCAGCACAGCAGCAGCTACGGCGTGGGGCCCCCGCTGTTGCTGCCAGCAGCAGCAGCTACAGCAGCAGCAGCAGCAGCAGCCCTGCGGTATCTGCTGCGCTGCAGTGGAGTGCGCAGCTGCTGCCTCTCTTGCAGCAGGCGCTATCTCACCGCTTGCTGAAGCTAGAGAGCAGCAGCAGCAGCAGCAATGAGCACCAGCAGCAACAGCAGCAGCAGCCGCAACAGCAGCAGCAGCAGCAGCAGCAGCTGAGGGTTATTGTAACAGGAGAGGCTCTGCTGCAGTTGCTGCAGGGTTTTGCTGCGCTGCCGTCTATTAACGGTGCTGCTGATGCAGTGCTTGCCTCGTTGCTGCTGCTGCTGCAGGTGCAGCAGCAACATCAGCAGCAGCTGCTGGAGCTGCCGCATCAACAGCAGCAACAGTTGCAGCAGCAGCAGCAAACCTTGTTATGCGATGCCCTAAGAGCAGCAGCAGATTTGCTAACTAGCAGCAACAGTGCAGCAGACACAGCAGCAAGAAGAAACGCATTAAATCCACTAGATGTTATTAAAGGTCTTGCTGCTGCTGCTGCTGCTGCTGATTATCAAGTTGCAGCAGCAACAGCAGCAGCAGCAGCAGCAGCAGATGCAGTCAGCAGCAGCAAGACTGTTTCTACTGTACGGGAAGAGATTGCTGCAGCAGGAGGTTTGCTGCTGCAGCAGCAGGTGCTGCCACACTTCTTGCTGCTGCAGCAGCAAGACCTTATCTCCCTTGCTGCCTGGTATACAGCTGTGCTGCTGCAGCCATCATCAGCAGCAGCAGCAAGAGGAGAGCAGCAGCAGCAAGGATTATTAAGGGTACTAAGAAGAATAACAGAAATTAGCAGCAAAAGACAAACCCTCAATAAAGGAGATCATACACAACTTGCTGTTGTACTCAGGTAAACCCTAAACCCTAAACCCTAAACCCTAATAAACCCTAAACCCTAATAAACCCTAAACCCTAAACCCTAGAAAAGTCTAAACCCCTAGTAGACCGTAAACCTTAAACTTTAGTAAACCCTAAACCCTAAATTGTAGCACATTGAGGGTTGCTAATAGTGCTGCTGCATTTGCTGCTGCTGCTGCTACTATTGCTGCTGCTGCTGTTGCTGCTGCTGCTGCTGTGTGCTGCAGCTATCTGCGTCTTGATCTGCCTAGTGTATGGGGTCAGGTGCCAGCAGCAACGCAGCAAATGCTGCACTTGCTGCTGCAGCGGGCTTAATACAGCAGCAGCAGCACCAGCTGCTGCTGCTGCTGCTGCTGCTAGTGACTGTGTATGCTGCTGCTGCTGCTGCTGCCGCTGGTCTACTGCAGCAGCAGCAGCAGCAGCAGCAGCAGCAGCAGCCTGGAGTTGCAGACACTCCCAATCGCAGTGACACTCCAAGACAGCAAACAATCATTTTTTTTTAGACTAAATAAATAAATAAATAAATAAATAAATAAATAAATAAATAAATAAATAAATAAATAAATAAATATAAATAAATAAATAAATAAAAAGGAGACAAAAAAAGAAAAAAAGGAAAGAATTAAGAGAAGAGACAAACATAGAAAAATAAAACTGCGTCTTCTTTCTAAAGAAAAGAGCAGCAGCAGCAGCAGCAGCAACAGCAGCAGCAGCAGCAGCTTATGCTGTTGTCTGCTGCTACCTGCTGTTGCCTGCTGCTGCTGCTGCATGCGGCCCCTTGCGCCCCCTTATGGGGGTTTAGGGTTTAGGGTTTAGGGTCTGCATTCCTTGACAGCAGCAGAGGCCTCGCATTGGGCCGGCCATCAGCTCTGCTGCTGCTGCTGCTGCTGCTGCTGCTGCTGCTGCTGCTGCTGCTGCTGCTGCTGCTTAGTCGTCTCCTGCCTCGCTGCCCCCTTGAGGACTTGCACAGGAAGGAGTGCTTAGGGAGAAGACAGCAGCATCAGGAGGCAGCAGCTGCAGCAGCTGATAAGGAGCTCTTCTTCTTCTTGCTGCTGCTGCTGCTGCTGCTGCTGCAAAGTGTCCTGTCCCTTGCTGTCTCTCCCGCTGTCTGCATCCTAACCACCATTCGTCTTGCAGCAGTTCTCGGTGCTGCAGCAGCAGCTGTTGCTGCTGCTGCTGCTGACCATCCTCCTGCTGTTGTTGTTGCTGCTGTTGCTGCTGCTGCTGCTGCTGCTGCTCCGGCAGCAGAGCAGCAGCAAATCCTTCCCTTAGCTGAGCAACTGCTGCTGCATCTTCTGTCTCCTCTGGGTGTCTCTGCTGCTGCACATGCAGACGATCTAATAACTCTAATACTAATGAATGCAGCAACTCCGTCTCTTCTTGCTGCTGCTGCTGCTGCTGCTGCTGCTTATCCTTCTGCTGCTGCTGCTGGTGGTCCTTGTACTGTTCCTGTTGCTTATCCTGCTGCGGCTGCGACTGCTCCTCCTGACCATGCTGCTTCTTCTGCTCAAGCTGCTCATCATGCTGCTGCGTATCCTGCTGCTGCTGCTGATCCTGCTGCTGCAGCTTATCCTGCTGCTGCAGCTGATCCTGCTGCAGAGGCTCCTGCTGTTCCCGTTGCAGCTGCTGCTGTGCTTGTTGCTCCTGCTGCGGTTGTACTTGCTGCGGTTGCACATGCTGCTGCTCCTCCTCTTCCTGCTTCTGCTGCTGCTGCTCCGCCTGCTGCTGCAGCGCTACGCCTGTTCCTGCTGCAGCTGGAGATATGTGGGTCTTTGCTGCTGCTGTTGTTGCTGCTGTTGCTGCTGCTGCTGCTGCCGTAAGGTTTCCGATTGCTTCTCCTCCTTCTGCATTAGAAGACAATCGCGAGCCTAAGCTGTTCCTGCTGCTGCTGCCGTTCCAGTTGCTGCTGCTGCTGCTGCTGCTGCTGCAGTTGCTGCTGCTGCTTCTCCCTGTGCTAGGGAAAGAAAGACTACCGCACATAGATTCCTGTGCATCGCTCCTTTGTCTTATGCTTGCTGCTGCTGCTGTGGGGTTTGCTGCAGCAGCAGCAGCTGCTGCTGCTGCTAAAGCCGAAGGACTCGTCGCTGTTACTGCAGCAGTGGCTGCTGCTGTTGCTGCAGCGGCTGCTGCAGCTGCTGTCATCGCAGCAGCAGCAACTGATGCCGTATTAGACACTGCTGCACTCGCAACCGTTGCAGCACTTGCTGCTGCTGCTGCTGCTGCTGCTGCATCCGTTACGCTTGTGGGATCTGCTGCCACTGCTGCAGTCCCTGCTGCTGCTGCTGCTGCTGCTGCAGCTGCTCCAGCAGCATCCGGCTGCAGTGGCAGCTGGCCTCGAGGTGTCTGTACACGTTCAACTGCTGCTGCTGCTGCCATTGCAGCAGCAGCAACAGCAGCAGCAGCACAACCACGTGGTGTTCCTACTGCAAATGCTGACGGATCGAAGGCGCATGCAGCAGCAGCAGCAGCAGCAGCAGCAGAATCCGCTGCTGCTGCTGCAGGAATGGGCGGAACTACAGGTGCTGCAACAGCAAGCCTAGGGACTACCGGAGCAACAGCTGCTGGTCCTGCTGCAGGTGCTGCAGTAGCAGGTGCTGCAGCAGCAGGTGCTGAAGCAGCAGGTGCTGCAGCAGCTGCTGCTGAAGCAGCAGGTGCTGCAGCAGCAGGTGCAGCAGCAGCAGCAGCAGATTCCTCCTCAGCCAGCAGCACCTTTTGTGCCTTTACTAAAGCCTGCAGCAGATGTCTATCAGCAGCAAGAGGCGATATCCCGCATGGCTGCTGCTGCTGCTGCTGCTGCTGCTGCTGCTGCTGTTGCTGTTGCTGCAGCTGCAGTTGCTGCTGCTCACGGTGCATGGCATCCTTAACGGCCTTAATGGCACCCCCAATTACTTGAATCCTCTCGGGCTCCAGCAGCACCTTCTGCTGCTGCTGCTGCTGCTGCTGTTGCTGCTGTTGCTGCTGCTGCAGGTGCTGCTGCTGCTGCTGCTGCAAGTGCTGCTGCTGACGCTCCAACAGGAACAGGAGAGCATCTAAGCAGCTGGGTTCCTGCTGCTCTTGCTGGTGCTGTTGTTTTTGCTGCTGGTGTTGCTGCTGGTGTTCTTGTTGTTCCTGCTGCTGTTGTTGTTGTTGCTGCTGTTGTTGTTGTTGCTGCTGCAGCAGCAGCAGCAGCTGCTGCCCTATATGCTCACCAGACTGGAGAGGCGGCAAGGGTCCACCCGAAAGGTCCGACAGCAGCAGCGGCTGCTGCTGCTGCTGCTGCAGTTGGCGCTGCACTTGCTGCTGCCGTTGGACGTATTGTTGGTACGGCAATTGCTGCGTTGTAGGCACAACAGCAGCAGGTGCAGCAGGTGCTGCTGCAGGAGGTGCAGCAGTAGGAGCAGCAGCAGCAGAGGATGCCCACGAAGGGACAGTCCCCTCTGAGGTAACAACAGAAGTCCCGCACGCAGATGCGCTGCAGCGTGTGCTGCTGCAGCAGCAATGTGCTGCTGTTGTTGCTGCTGCTGCTGTTGTTGCTGCTGTTGCTGCTGTTGCTGCTGCTGTTGCGTGGGGCGGAAGACCGATCCTCAGCAAAGTTGCAGCAGGTGCAGCAAGAGCAGCAGCAGCAGCAGCAGGTGCACCACCACCACAACAACCACCACTACCCCCAACAGCAGCAGGTGCACCAGCAGCACCAGCACCAGCAGCAGCAGGTGCAGCAGCAGCAGCAGCAGCAGCAGCAGCATCAGTACAAGGAAGGAAAGGAGGAGTACTTAGATGAGGTCTTAGACTAAAACTGCAGCTCGGTCTCCTCCTCTGTCTCCTCCCTTTGCTGTCAATATCTGCTGCTGCTGCTGCTGCTGCTGTTGCTGCTGCTGCTGCTAGTGGTGCTGGCTGTTCGCCATCATCAACAGCACCAGCAGTAGCAGCAGCAGCAGCAGCAGCAGCAGCAGGAGATGCATGTCTTGCTGCATGCAGTGCTGCACCCCACATAATTTGTTCTTCTTTATTACTAAAGGCAAATAAATATTTGCTGCTAGCAGCAGCAGCAAATACACGAACTAATGCTGCTGCTACTGCTGCTGCATCTGCTGCTGCTGCTGCTGCTGCTGCTGCTGCTGTTGCTGCTGCTGCTGCTGCGGGAGTTTGCTGCCCGCTGCTGCTCTCCTGTGGCTCTACTAATGCCTTAGATAAAGGAAATGGTCTCCTCCTCTCAAGGGGTCTTGCTGCTGCTGCTGCTGCTGCAGCAGCAGCAGCAGCACCAGGAGGTCTATACATCCATGAGCAGCCCATGTCACATCCACCACCCTGCTGCTGCTGCTGCTGCAGCAGCAACAGTTGCTGCTGCTGCTGCTGCTGCTGCTGCTGCTCCTGTTCCTCTTTGCTGCCTCGCCATCTTGAGAAGAGACCCCCTAATAAAGAACGCTGGTAATGCCCTGCTGTGTCTGCTGCTGCTGCTGCTGCTGTTGCTGCTGTTGCTGCTGTTGCTGCTGGTCGTAGTGTGCAGCGGCAACCAGTACCCGTTTTTCCTGCTAGCAGCTTTTGCTGCTGCTGCTGCTGCTGCAGTTGCTGCAGTTGCTGCTGCTGCTCTTCCTCCTCCGCCCGCAGCAGCAACGCCAGATCAGCGCATCTGCAGTTTCCTCTTTTGCTGCTGCTGCTGCTGCTGTTGCTGTAGCTGTTGCTGCTGCTGCTGCTGCTGCTGCAGCAGCAGCAATAGAGAGCAGCAGCATTCTCTATAACAGCAAGAAAATATGCTTGCTGCCTACCGAAGCAATCAAGGGGTAGCTGCGGCTGCAGCACGAGTGTATGTACACCTAACTGCAGCAAGCCTCTTGGGGGCCCAGCAGCAGCAGCAGCAGCAGCAGCAGCAGCAGCAGCAGGACGGAGGGCCCCCCCTACATGACTTTGGGGGTAATATAGTAAATAGGGAGGAGACAAACGCACAAGACGTAACGCCCAACTGTCTGCAGCAGCAGCAGCAACAGCAGCAGCAGCAGCAGCACTCGCGTTAGCCAGCAGTAGTATTAGCAGATAGCAGCAGCAACAGCAGCAGCAACAGCAGCAGCAACAGCAACATTCGCAACCAGCAGCAGCGTTGGCAAGAGGCAGCAACAACCGTTAACAACGGCGGAAGCAGCAGCAACGGTAGCAGCAGCAGCAGCAAGGGCAGCAGCAGCAACAGCAGCAGGACCAGCAACAGCAGCAGCAACAACAGCAACAGCAGCAGCAGCAACAGCAGCAACAGCAGCAGCAGCAGGGAGGATAAAGAACTCACAAGGCCAAGAGTTTCCCCTCTTAAGTACTAAACCCTCAAGGATTGGTGCTTCTTGCTGCTGCTGCTGCTGCTGCTGCAGCTGCTGCTGCAGCAGCAGCTGCTGCTTAATATGTTGCTGCTCTTGCCAGGTCTGCTGCTGCTGCTGTTCCTCCTGCTGCTGCTGCTGGTGCTGCCAGTGCTGCTGCTGCAGATATTTTTGCTGCTGCACTTCGAGCCTTGTCTGCTGCCGCTGCATCAGCTGCATCCGATTTTTCTGCTGCTGCTGCTGCTGCTGCTGATGGTGGTGGATATTTTCCTGCTGCTGCTGCAGCCACTGCTGCTGCCGCAGCAGCAGCTGATGCTGCTGCTGCGGCGGCTGGCTAGGCAGGTAGTGCTCCTTGCTTTGCTCGTGGCAGCAGCGCTGCATTGCATGCAGACATTAGGTTGGCTGCTGCAACAGGAGCTGCTGCTCTTGCTGCTGCTGTTGCTGCTGCTCCTGGGGGCTGTTGCTGCCGTTGTTGCTGTTGTTGCTGCTGCTGCTGCTGCAGAACAGCAAATTTCCTTCCTTACTGGTATGCTGTAGAGCAGCAGCGTCAGCAACAAGACATCTCGACCACGCTGCTGCTGCTGCTGTTGCTGCTGCTGCTGCTGTCGCTGCTGCTGCGGACGTTGTTGTCGTTGCTGCTGCTGCAAGGATGTCAGAGCGGCAGCAGCTGCAGCAGCAGCTGCTGCTGCTGCAGCAGCAAGATACAAGGGTGTGTAAGAAAAGAAAAGGGCGAGGGGCCCCTACTCATACGCCATCGATCCACCCCGTCGCCGCTGTTGCTGCTCCTGCTGCTGCTGCTGCTGCTGCGTTGCTGCTGCTCTGCAGCAGCAAGACAGACTCACAGTTAATAGCAGCAAAGTAAATAAAAGCTTAATATTAATTCTTATAAGAGGGACAACAGCAGCAACAGCTGCATCCGCTGCTGTCCCGCTGCTGCTGCCGCTACCGCAGCCGCTGCAGCTGTTGCTGCTGGAGCTGTTGCTGCTGCTCTTGCTGCTGCTGCTGCTGCTGCTGCTGCTGCTGCACCTTATAAGACAGTAAGAGTTGTAAGACTCCCTTCCCTTTATAAACATAATCAGCAGCAGAAGGATAAAAACAGCAAAGAAGATCGTACAGAAGGCTGCTGCTGCTGCTGCTGCTGCTGCTGCCAACGCGAGGCCCAGTGGGCAGCAGCAGCCAGATGCTGCAGATGCTGCAGCTGCTGCGCAGCCTGTATCGGCTGCTGTTGTTGCTGCTGCTGCTGCATGCATGCACAGCGCCCCCCATATATATTCCTCTTTCCCTTTATTTGTATAGATAAACTGCTTATAAGCAACAGCAGCAGCAACAACAACAACAACAGCAGCAGGAACAGCAGCAGCAGCAACAACAGCAGAGGGGAGTTGTTATCTGTAAGTTTTATTTACTAATTAATAATATTACTCCTTTTTGTCTTGATACATACTAGAGCTGCTGCTGCTGCTGCTGCTGTTGCTGTTGCTGCTGCTGCTGCTGCTGTTGCTGCTGTCGTCGCATTTGTTGCTGCTGTGATCTGCGCATATATTTGCGCCCTGTATTTACACCCGCAGCAACAGCAGCAGCAACTGCTGCTGCTGTTGTTGCTGCAGCAGCAGCAGCATACAGTTCGTGTGCATCTCTTGCGTAAGACGTGTATCTGTGCATGCGTTATGTATGGTGCTGCAGGCCCAACAGCAACAGCAGCAGTAACCATACCAGCAGCAGCAGCAACAGCAACAGCAGCAGCAGCAGCAGCAGGATGTTTGCATTTAAGCCTGCAGATGGGGAGTTAACTCCTGCTGCTATTGAGCAGCAGCTGCTGCAGCGGCTGCAGCAGCGGCTGCGTATATTTGCTGCTGTTGTTGCTGCGCTGCGCCTCGCCCCTGTCTTCTTAGGACCTGCTATAGAGGATACAGCAAGCAGCTAAACAGCAGCAGCAGCAGCAGCAACAGCAGCAGCAACAGCAGCAGCAACAGCAGCAGCAACAGCAGCAGCAACAGCAGCAAAGGCAGCAGAGGCCATGCCTCTGGGACGGTTAGAGAGTTAGTTCTCCTGCACCAGGAACAGCAGCAGCAGCAAATGCAGCAGCAGCAGCAGCAACAGCAGCTGCAGCAGCAGCAGCAGTATTGGTGGCATCATTAGCCTCCTTTCTTATATCATCCGCTGCAGCAACGTTTGCTTCTGCAGCAGGTGCAACAGCAGCAACTGCAGCAGCAGCAGCAGCGGCAGCAGCAGCAGCAGTGGCAAGTACAGGCTGCAGCAGTAGTTGCTGTAACAGCAGGAGCAGTTACAGCAGCAGCAATAGCTGCAGCAGAAGCAGCAGTAACAACTGCAGCAACCGCAGCAGCAGCAGCAGCAGCAGCAGCAGCAGCTGCTGCTGCTGCTGCTGCAGGCGCAGCAATTGTCTGTTTTTTGTGGCAGTACACAAAAATACATTTTTAACTTTATTCAATTTATTTATTTATTTATTTATTTATTTATTTATTTATTTATTTATTTATTTATTTATTT